TGAGAATTGCCCACATAGATACTTGAAACAGTCGCCATCTTTGTTTTAAGGTCCTTACAAACTGCTTTTTATGTGAAGTGGAGGTAATAGGACTTTCTTCGTGTCAACCAAACTTTCACATTCAATGTTTTTCTCTCCTGATGTCAGACTGACTCTGCATGGCCATTGCTTCTTTATCCAGTGCTGACTTTGTGCTCAGCTGTCCCAGTCCCACAAAAAACATGGAAACTTTGTAGACGATTGTTGACCCAACAACATACAAAATACTTTTAAGTCTCCACAAAGTAGCCAACCATGTTCTTTGTATTTGACCTTATTAAGAAGAAGTTTAAGATTTTTGTACAATTCCTTCAAGTGAACTGAATGAGCAATAGGAACAGATGCATATATGTTACCATTGTGAAGGAGAACACCTTTTTAGACTTCTTTTGGGGGAATCAAGGAACAATCGCCACTAACTTGGCTCATATACTGCAGCTCCAACCATGTAAATTTATTCAGCAATTTTGTTGCAATAAACCAGTGAACCTTCTTGCGAAAAGTATGGTGTAAACTCTTTCTCACAATTTCTGTATCAGTAAAATGATGTCACTGGAAAAAGTAAGTTCTTAGCCTGAAGTCTGGACCCTAAAATCTCTGAAGAATCCTTTGGAAGGCCCAAATCATTAAATTCACCTTGTGTGAAAAGTTGTGGTTCACCAGACGTTTCAGGTTGAAAACAATCCATATCATTTCTATTGACATCAGATTCAGAATCAGATGAAATTTTATCAAGAGTCTGGTGGAGTATGTACAGGTACATCTTGTCCATGAGCAACAGGTCTTATAGCAGATTGAAGGTTTGGATTAGAAATTTCCTTTTTATTTTGAATGTTGTAGCCTTGCACGTTACATGAGCAAAAATAGCAGTCATTTCCTTGGTTTGTAGGCTCACGCCAGACCCTGGAATTCGAAAAGGCAAAAATTTTTCTTACCTGTAGTCTATTGTCTCCACTCTTAGACACAAATAGTGCAAACTTTGTGAGGAGCCCATGATTTGTCTTGGTCCTCAACTTTTATTCCAAAATACATGTAATATGCTTTTTTGACAAATTCTGTAATGTTTTGCATTTGTTTCTTTACAACAAATTTACCACAAATATAATAGAATATGTTTGGGTCACTTACACAACCTTTTGTTGTCATAGTGATGAATAAATAATATTGAAAAGAAAAACATAATGTCCAATTGTAAGCACAAACAAATAGTATCCAGTAATGACACTTCATGTGACCTGTTAACCATTTATATACTAGTGGTGTGTTTCTCGTGGGTTCTAGAATGATTGATAAGACTCGCGTCGCGATTGGTCTAGAGAAATCTATAGCCAGTGATTGTTAACATTTTAAGCATAACAAAATGTGACCTGATTTAAATGAAAATGATTCACTTATGTAAAATTACATATGACATTTTGTGAAAAATCTGTACATGATGGAGAAAAATTCGGATTCAGTGTATAGGTATTACGGTAGAACACGTAAAAATATCAAGACAATATTTTTGTTTTTGTTTTGTTTATTTTTTTCAACTAAGATAATGGGGATTTATATGTTGTAAAACAAGTGCTTAATAATACTGATAGTGGGAGACTAAATTTAGACGATTGATGGGAAGAGGGCTTAAAAATCACTCAGAAGCTCTTATTAATAGTACTAGGGTGATATGTGCTGGGGGATTTATAATTCCCAATGAAAACTACATTCATATAAAATATCAATGGTGAAAAAATGTCTTGAAAATAAAGTTATTTGGTGGGGGCTAAAGATATTCTGGATGTCACATGACTTTCCAACAGAATTAGGTGATTTTTGTGGTGTTAAAATTACTTTCTGCTTAAAATGCATGAAAATTTTGTATTCTTTATTTTTGAATGGATTCAATTAGTAATAATTATGGTTACTAAGTGTTATTATATGCATTTGTAACTATCTGGTTAGTTTCTTTATATATCAAGTAGAACCTAGAATGGCAAGTTGGGATTTGTTGTTAACTATTAGGTCTTTTATGAATTATTCTACTAATGTTTACTAGGAATCTACTTATAGCATCATGCCATGATTCATTTCAGGTCAGAGTCTGAGCCAGCAGTAGGTGCTTTCAATTCCAAGAATGATAGCACCTTGACCAATAGTCAACTTTTGGAGCTGATAGAAACATATCCTACTTTCAAGGAGGCTCTGAAAGAAATCCAGAAACTTGTAAGTGGTGAAATACCATTCTCCTCATTCAATAGCTCTCTCAAGAAAATTAAGGAAGAAATGAGGAAACTATTGAAGAACAGATACGACCAAGAAACCTTAGAGAAGTTTCTGATGGAGGAGTACAAAATACCTCAGAAGAACGACCAAAGTGCAGCCAAAGAAGTCCTAAAAACCATGAACTACAATGACTGTGAAGTAACTCAATTTTTAAAAGTAATAAATATTGATTAGTTATATATTATGGAAGCTAGTCTTGAAAGGATCAATTTTCATAGAAAAAAGTCAATGAAATGAAGAAGATATGAGTAAAAATTTGTGCACTGTTAAGTGCACTTCTAGCTCCACTGGTCACAGATTTAACTATTATTGTATATGGGTTAAATTAGGATTCTCTCAACTGCTAAGAATGCTGTACCTTCTTGTCTAATTAACATAAAGACAATTCAGAGTGATATAGAATACACTTTTTGCACTTTATACAAAATCATTGTTGACTCTGAGATTGTTTAAATTTAGAATTTTTTTGGAGTCTATTTATGCTGTGTTCTGAAGACAATGAATGAGAGAATGCAATAACAAGATTTAAAAAATACAGGCTCCAATGAAGAAAGTTTTATTTCTCTAACAGGGTGATATTAGCTTATGGAATGACTTGCCAGCACCTTACAAGAATTTAAGATAACTGGTGAATTTCTCAAAAATAAAGGGTGGATTTAAAATTTTACCTTCATTTTTCCTCAGTGATTAAAGGCAGAAACAGACTTTAAGATTGAAATGATTCCTTGTGGTCCTTGTACTGCAGCTAGACTTAAACAAGTTATTATTTTTTTTATTTTGGAAAAAATTGCCTTCAGCACTTAAAAAAGAGTTTGCAATGGGAATCACCAATCCCTTAAAACATAAAGGGTGGGATTAAGTTATACTTTTTCTTGAGGACAGTCTTTAATGGCAAGTGTTCCATTGTTGTTTGTATGTTAGTGTACATTTGATAAACTCATTAAGAAGTGGACTAAATGGCTTACAAGAAACTGCTAATTAAACATCTAATTAATTTTATTGCTATCATTACCCACATTATGAAAGCTTTTATTATCATGATTATATTACTATAATACTGGTACTTAATTCAAGCTCTGAATTTGCATTTAATTTTATATATATATTTGTATATATTATTTTTCCAAGTTGATGAAGCAGATTTAGACCCTGAATTTTTGGCTACTGATTCCAGTAGTATTAGTACTAATCAAATGAAGACATCTGCCAAAATAACATCATGACAAGATCTGATTTTAACTCAAAGAAGTTAAGTTTATTAGCTGGATTTGCACATAATTCAATTGTGTGTTATCATAATCTTTGTCTTTTTAATATTCCAAAACATGTCCATACCATATGTTTTTATGTGATAGTTGAATAGCCATGGAGTGTCTAGATGGGGCCAAAATATTTAGAAGTTTTTATTTTGAATTAAAATATCTAATTCCTAAAGTCAGTAATTTGCCATTATTAAATATTAGGCATTACTGTGGTGTGTTGGACGGACTGGTCTATATAAATTAACTTTACATACACTAATTAAATGTAACATAATTGTATGATCTACATCATTCTTCTTTCTTTTTTTAAACCTGAAACAGATATAGAACTTCCACAGATATCTTAGTATTTAATCTACCTGGATTAAAAAATATGATAGCACAGTAGAACATTATTTCCCCAGGAACATCCTCGAAATTTAATACCAGAGCTTCTTCGTCAGTTTTACACACTTGGGTGGGTTTCAGGAACTGGTGGAGGAATCAGCATTAAGTATGGGTGAGTATAAGTTTACTTTCATGTATACAAAGTTCACGATTTTCACAGTAAATGCTGTATTGTGATCTAATAGTTATTGCCTTTAATTGTTGGCATGATTAAGTATAGTGACTTTCTGAAAGCCATTAAAAAGTCAAAAACAAAATTACAATTTGTTTTGAATGAGGATAGCTCAAACATAAATGGAAAATTAGATCAAAATACAGAAATAAAAGTAACTAGGTTTTCAAGCTTTAACCTGGTGTTCTTGTGATTAAACAAGTACTTGTGTCATTTGAAATAGAAAATTATAAAATGCTCTTGATATTAGTAGAGGCCAGCACCTTACAAGAGTTTAAATATGTGATCCAAATTAAGATATCTTGGAAACATTAGCTTGCACTTACTGTAACTTTGGCTAAATATTTGTCCAATTTACCAACTGATCCAAATCATTCTGTAGTACCTCAACTTCCTCAGTACAACTAGAAATACCCAAAACTTTATTATCATCTGCAGTTTTACTAATTATGCCTCTGTTAATATCATTGATGTAAACAGCCTTAAAGAGTAACACAGATGCTTCATATTTTCTGTTTACTACTTAATGTTTCTGCCCCCCAATGGCACAGCGGTATGTCTGCGGACTTACAACGCTAGAAACTGGGATTCGATACCCTTGGTGGGCAGAGCACAGATAGCCCTTGTGTAGCTTTGTGCATAATTAAAAACAAACAAACAAACTTAATGCTTGTGAAATAAGGATCTTATGTAATATTCACTTCTAAGTAAGAAAATTGTTCATTTCAAATTGTCTCTTATTGTCAGTGATTATTAAGGTACAAATCTCAGCCTTAGTTCATTCATTTGTAGAGCTCAGGGTGTTTACGAAAAAAAAATTGTCTTTGGGGGAACAAAATTTACCAGAGGCACTTTTAAGTGTTGCAAGTTTTATTGAGGTACAAGGTTTCAAAACTACATTATACTGCACTTTTTTCACATATCTTTCATTTCTCTTTAAACAGTACAAGACTGTAGATTTGAATAGTGTGTCAGTGTGCAAGGATCAGTGAACACTGTTCAGAATAAATCATACAGTAGCTTCATTCAGAGATAGTCTTGATATACTGATTATAAGTAACGTAAAGAACATTGAACATCTTTTGTGGCAATTTTTTAAACATCCCATTTTATGTCCAAACTTTCCTTGATAAAACTTCTAACGGTCAATGAGTTTCTGGTTAAATATAGTTCATTTAGTTTAAGTATTTTTTAAAAAATACAATAACTTTAATTATGGGGTTTTCTTTGAATAACTATATGTATGATGTAAATTTAAACTTATTACTTGCATAATGTATTGTGGTACTGAATGTGTATTTTGCCAGTATTAAATGTGTAACATTTTTCAGGTTAATTTGAACAAAACAAAGTTTTTGTCTCTTAAGTAATACATTTGAATTAGAGCATGTTATAATAACCAGTCCATTCCCATTATCACTCAATGTTGACTACGTCTTTTTAAGACTGGTGAAATGAATTATGGCTATACTATTTTATAAAATGTAGCAAATGTTTTTAACAATGTTTCATTTTTTGTACACTTTTTTCGGTAATTTATTTCAAGTAATTTATATGTAAGTGTGCTTATATTGAACTTTCTAAGTTGTTGCATGTAAATTAAGTTACAAATAACAACAGTAGCATTTACAGATCAACTTATGCACAGGATTTTCTTTACATGAAATTGTCAGTAATATGTTTGCCACTCTATTATGGGCAGAGTTCATAATCACTATCAAAGTCAATAATATGTTTGCCACTCTATTATGGGCAGAGTTCATAATCACTATCAAAGTCAGTAAAATGTTTGCCACTCTATTATGGGCAGAGTTCATAGTCGCTATCAAAGTCAGTAATATGTTTGCCACTCTATTATGGGCAGAGTTCATAGTCACTATCAAAGTCAGTAATATGTTTGCCACTCTATTATGGGCAGAGTTCATAGTCACTATCAAAGTCAGTAATGAAAGTTTTCATAGATTCACATTGTACTCATTTCTTAAATTAAATGTATAGTGTAGTCTATAGAGAAACAAAATTTAAATTGTATTATATATACTAAACTGGATGAAGATTAGTAAAGCTGTTTGTTTGAGATTTTAAATTTTTGGCAAATGATACATTTTGGATATGAGAACTTCAGTTTTGCTGGAATTTGTTTGAAGATCCATTCTTGTCCTTATGTGTGTGGTATTCTCAGGTGAACTGAAAATACTTTGGAGTTATATCAAATAGCAAGAGATTCAGTCAGAGTATGTAATTTTTAAAAAGTATTCAGTTTATACTGTTTGGGTTGATTATAAGGAGTAAGTAGACTGAACACAAAGTGTAAGATGCAGTGAAAACAATCTTTATTACACTTAAATTAGGGGTGAAATTATAAAAAAAAAGTAGAGTTACTCAGCTGGTGAAGTAAACCTGATTTAAAAAAAAAACTATGTGTAAGCCTTAAAAATGACAAAGCAACTCAAATAATTCCTGGTACTAGTACCTCCTTAAAAAATAAGTTCCGGTACTTGGTATCAGTGAGTACTGCATAATTTCACTCCTGTCTTAAATACAATGTAATTACTTGCCTAGGGAACAATGAATGACACTTCTTCAGTTAGATTTCTCTCTCAGTGACTAGATGAAGATTGACACTCAGTGCAGACTGAAATTAGCCTTCGCTCAGAACTAAGTGAAGATTGAAATCAGACCAACTAAATGTAAGGTTTCTACCTTCAAAGAAACCTTGCATTTACCTAGCACAATGATGCTACCATATGATTGGTCATTCTTATTCTACATAGGTGGGATTGTAACTTCTACATATTACCTATATAACCATTGAAGAACACTACTATTGACTTTCTTACACAAAGTTGCTGTAAGCAATATACTCCATGGGTGGTAAGAAGTTGTACTAACTTTGAAAATGTCATACAAACAAAGTTAATTTGAGATAAGATCAACTTAACAGTTTTTCTTGACCATGTGTTGTGTGAAAACCTGCATAAGTAGAACTAAGAATAAATTCAGAACTAAATATTAATACTGAAGAAAAAAGAAACCTGTTATATATTCCCATACAACATGTTTTCTTGCCATTTTTTGTGATTAACAAAATTAATTTGTTTTTCTAGATAGTCCTCAAACTAGAGAATTAAATAACTTCTTGAATATTTATGTCATTCAAGAAATAATTAGAATACTTCTTCATTGTTAAAGAAAGCCATCTAGATCTGCCACTCATGTTTTCTTCATTTTTTTTATGTTGAAAGTTGAAATATGAAAATATATTATTTAGTAATGGATAACAAAACCCTACTGCCTGAAAACTGCAGTTTGAAGCAACAACTAGCTAAATGTTTGAACTTTATGTGTGTGTGATCATTTGTGCTGTTTTATTTTACTTTCTAAAGGTGTCTAAATCTCCATTGGGTATTATTCTTATTAGCAATCTATTTGAAGTGATAAGAGATAGTACTGCTCAAACCTGCAGATTTTAACGGACCATAATATGAAATGTTTATCTATTATGTGGTCTTATGTTTGCATATTATAATGAAGTAACTCGAACACAATGGATATTTTTAGTACTTAAAAGGTGCAAAATAGTTAAATTAGTGATGTGTTTGATATTTATTTAAAAATAATAATAATAAGCTAGCCAATCATAACCTATAGTTGTTTGTGTCAGGTTTAATCTTGTGCCAAAGGGATGTGTAAAGCTCATGAAAGACTTGTGTGGGATAATAGTTATAAGAATTGGTAACTAATTTTATAAAAATAAAATAAACAATAGAAATATAATAAAAATTAAATAATGGCTAAAGGCGGTGGGAAATAGAGAAAATGATAATGTAGCTCAATATATATAGGAAATCAAACTAATATATATAGAGAAATTTAAGGTAGAATAATACTAATAATGTAAAGTAGTTTAATGATGAGTATAGTTTTGAAAATCTTTTCAGAGACTTGCAAGGTCAACAACCACGGGATCGAGATTGATACCATTTGGCATTACAGTGTTTAACAGTGCTATCCAATAAGTTTCGTTAATTTCCCTGTTTCTGTTAGATGTAAAATTTGTCACTGTACTCATAAGGTAAATGTCTTCAAGAGAGTGTCCAGGCATGTTAAAGTGTTTTGCAACTGGAAGTTCTTTGTTTGTTTTTATTGTTGATTTATCGTTATTAAAACTTTCTCATATAGTTGTTTTGGTTTGACCTACATATTGGAAATTGCATTTTCGACATAGGATAAAGTAAATAACATTTTTTCTAGAGCAAGTTATGGAATTAGTGATTTTGAACTGCTTTTGGTTGTCTTTATCAAAAAATTTGACTATTTCCTGAATGAACTTACAGGTTTGACATTGCTTGCTATTGCAAGGTTGACTTCCACCTGGTATTGGCTCAAAGTTTACTTTAGTGTGAATGCAAAGTTTTATTCTTTCTGAAAGAAACAACAGGAACTTCGTTGAAGGAAGTAAATGTGTTTCTTTAGTATCTGGGGTAGATGTTTTAGTTTTGGGTGGTAGGTAATAACCAGTGGAACACAAGAAGAATTGGTTTTAGCTAATTGTTTCAAGGCAGATGTATGTGGTATATTGTTAGCTTTCTCAACTTGTTGAGTGATAGTGTTTTGTTTATAACCTCTTTCAGTCATAGTCTGTTTCAAAGGATTAATGTGATGGTCATAGTTCTTACTATCAGGGCTTATCTACTTTAATCTAAGTGCTTGATTGAATGTGATATTGTGTTTGGTGTGTGGAGGGTGACAGCCTTGATTATGTAAATATTGTAGTTTATCTGTTGGTTTTCTGTACAAATCAGTATGTAGAACACCATCTTTTAATGTTAGGTTTACATCCAAGAAACTTGTTTGGGTAGTGGACTAGTCTAGAGTAAACTTAATATAACTGTGGAAGGTGTTATCGTGTCTATAAAAGGACAGTAATGAATCTTTGTCTCCTCCCAAATGAAAAAAAAAATGTCATCAATAGACATGAGTATCAATTTTGACAAGGTAGGAGTCATCTTCAATTAAAATAGTTTTATTTTTCTAACAGGGTGGTTGACCTTTGGAATGGGTTACCTTGAGGTGTGGTGGATGCAGTTAATTTAAGGAAGCTTAAGGGAAAGCTCTTAATAAAAATGTGAATGATAAGGGCTGGTTTTGAGTGTTTTATTTTAAAAGTTAAATTTTGAGGATAGGATAATATGTATATATAAGACTTATAATCCCACACTCCTGGCCCTTTTGAATTCCACACACTGAATAACTGATTTCTAGATTTTATGATCATTAGCAAATCTTGAAATGTTGCAAAAAAAATTGATGTATGATTACCTTACTTATTTTGAATGTTTTTATGATTGACATTTTCACTGGAAATTAATAAAATATATATATATACCATATTTGACAAGACTTAAAAATTTTTCTATTAGTGATGAAATTTACATAGCTCCATCTGGAGTTCAGAAAGAGAGAGTCCAACCAGAGGATTTGTTTGTTCAGGATATTAATGATCATGATATCTGTAGTCCACCTGAATGGAAGAAACTTAAGAAAAGTGAATGCACGCCTCTTTTTATGAATGCTTTCAGGATAAGAGGTGAGGATTAATGTTCCTATATAAAATAAAAATAGGAAAACTGTCTATCAGTTTGTTTAAAAGAAATAATTTTGTTCAAATATTTATTTTGTTGTAACAAAAGTGATGAGCACAGCATCTTTAAATATTTTCTGATTCTTCTCTCTTTTTTCAGCCAGGGCATAATATTTCAAATTTTTAGCTGAGTTCCTCGTCAGATTACTGTGGATAAATTGTGTGGAAGGCAGTAGCCAAAGAACAAGTTCAATAAGCAAAACAGTGGCCTCGAAGCTGAGACATGGGGGATCCTAAATGTTATACCGAAAATTACAATGTGCAAAATTTATATCAAAAAAGAAAAAAAAGTAGTAATAATAATAATAATAAAGCATTTAAAAAATGTTTTGGGATGGTAAAATGTAATAATATTTCTGTTGGGTTTTTTATTTCTACTTCTATATTTATTGAACCAGCTTTCAAATAAGGAGATTCTAGAGGTGGAACGTTTGAAGATTGACTTATGGGATTAGGTTAAGATCCTGAATTGACTTTCTCTTGAGAAACGAACATTAAGAGATGATATTTTTGTAGCTTTCAAGATAATTTGGGGAATTAATAGGATATAGGCCTCTGATTCCTTTGTTTTGAATTATACAGACAATAAGATGAAAGGACATAATTTTAAGGATTAGAAAAGACAGGCAAGGCTCCAATTTAGACAGTTTTACTTTCCTAACAGGTTGATTGATTTATGGAATGAGTTGCATTTAGTAGTAGTGGAGGCAGACACTTTACAAGAGTTTAAAATGGAATCAATTTTTTTTTTTAAATTAAAAGACGAGTGTACAATGGCCCGTATGATTCTTTATTGTCCATAGGTCACGTTAAAAATTAAATGGTATGAGGTATCTATCTGAAATTTTGACTAATAAGTACATGCACATATACACACTTAGCTCTCCATACATTTAAAATAGTAAAATTCTGTTCATACTTATGCCGAGTTAGAATAATTCTAAAGATGTGTTAGCAAGTAATATTGACCTGTTAGGTAATTCAAGATCATAAAAATGTTTCAACTCAAAATGGTCAATTTTTTGTGTTTTTAATGAAATGATTACACTGCTTACGTGAACACACCAAAGGCACACCACCATGTTAGAAAAATTAAACTGATTTAGCTGAAGATGAATTTTATCCTGCTAAAATTTATATTTGTGTCTCCTAGTCCTACCATTCTCACCAGGAAAAAAGCATGAAGCATGAAAAAAAGATGATGCATCAACACTATAAATTCTCTTAACAGTCTTAACATCTCAATAAGGTCCCATCTAACTCACCTTCTTTCAAGAGAAAACAATTTCAGAGATCTTAACCTGTCTTCATATGAAAACTTTTCCATTCCAGATTTCATCTTAGTAGTCTTCCTCTGAACCCTTTCCTGGGTCTGGTGGTTAAGGTGCTTGACCCACAATTTTCAGGTCATGGGTTTGAATCCCTGTTACTAAACATGGCTACCCTTTCAACCATGGAAGTGTTATAATGTGATGGATAATCCCATTATTTGTGGGTGGTGTTAGCTAGCCGCCTTCCTTCTAGTCTATTACTGCTTTGTGCAAAATCCAAAACACACTAACCCCTTTCCAACAATTTAATCTCCTTCCTAAGATAAGGAACCTGTGACTAAACACAATTCTTCAAATGTGGCCTAACAAATGACATACACAATAAAATTATAACTTCTTTACGCTTGTATTCAGTATTTCTGTAGATACAACCTAAAATCCTATTTGGCCCTACTACTAGCAACAGTCCATTGCTTGGATGACTTGAAAGATCCTTTTAAAAGTTTATCACTTTTGATCAGCATCTGTAATTAATTCAGTTCACAATTTATAATTCTTGTGTTATTCCATAAATTCAGAATTTGCTTTTTTGACATTTGGCACAAAGATTTTATTATTCTTCTTCTCCATATACAGTAAAACATAAAACCTAACTGATTAATGATTACTTTTTCCCAGGTGTTTCTCACTCTCCGCCCTATCAACCATTTATGCATCAGAAGTTAACAATAAATCTAAAAATATCATCCTTCAAAGTAGGTTCCTTGACAATATGGTGAAGAAAACCATCCTAAACAGTTTCTATCTATTAGTTTCAGACTAAAAAAAACATAGCACTATATACACAGTTTTACAGTGCTCTTATTCTCAGGGTGCATGCACTACTGACATCACTATTTGTCCTTCTATCATACGAATAACAGATAATATATATAATTTTTCACAGAAGAAAACTCAGATAATACCTGAGGGGAATAACCCAGAACAATAGGTACCTTGGGAAAAAGAAATTGGCCACATTCCATGACAAGTGTACTATTTTTTTAAACCTGATTACCTATGTATGCTTGCATGTTTTGGAAAGTATTATGTGAACTTTAAATGTTCACATTATTAAATAAAGGAGATAAAAAAAAACCTCGTATGTTTACATACTACAGTATTAAATTTTGAAGGATATCCTGGTTTTAAGCAAAATTAAGTATGCTTGCAAAGTATGCAATTGGTACGTGTATGCTTTTAACTCTGTGAACAAATTACATATTATGTTGAAGCCACACAAGAGAGAAGTCACTAGGATTTATAAAACGTAAGTTATCCTTCAAGACAATAAAGCTTTGTAGAAGCAACTAATCCAAGAGTTTTGTGTCATGTTTTTATTATTTCTCTGATCTTGTGCTTTATGATAAAGTTTTGCGGTATGCTAGTGTCGATATTTTCACCGAGTTCATAAAAGCTGTAGTAAGATGTTGAAAATATCATAATACAAAAAAGGCTCTCTGATCTTTTTGTTAAACTTGTTCATGTATGTTATAGGTGCTGGAGCTGTGATTCACTCACATTCTAAGAATGCAGTACTTGCAACAATTATATATCCAGGAAATGAATTCTGTATCACTCATCAAGAAATGATCAAGGTTTGTCTGTTGTCATAGTTTAGTTTTCTTAGTAATAACTCGAGTATTTGGATAGCATGTTGTAAACATAAGAACTGCATGTAAGTCTATAAAGTTAGAATACAATAATTTGAACATCGGAGTCTGTAATCAACATTTTTAAGCCTTTAGATATAGAATTTCTTCTCATAAAGCTTCAGTGCTTATTACCAGTACTGGTTCATAAAAGGATTTAATAAATGTGTAATAATTATTATTAAATTATGATGGGCATTTCACATGTTAATGAAAAAAGTTTACAGTCTCTACTCAGCTTTTCTGTTTATTTGGAAGAACTAGATAATAATTATTTGTTTAGTACAGTCTTCCCAAAATAAAGAAATGCAGTAAGATTAGTTATATCTTCATAGAATTAAGAACATTATGTAAGTACATATTTTAGGTCAAAATAAATACAATATTTTTCTGCCACATGAAGAAATAAAATGTTTTTTTTCATGAAAATATGTTGGCAGAATTATACTAAATAATTAATTTTGTACTTTTTTTAGGCACCTCTTGTTTTTGCTGTATATCAAATTATGACGTGTCAATAATTTATTATTTAGATACTGAGCAAATGTAATTAGAAATGATTTTCAAAAAAAGTATGACTGTAATATAAGACCTTGACATACATATCTCAAAAAATAACAACACATATTTTTTTAGAAAAAAAAATCTTTCATTTAAAAAAATAAAGAAAAGAAGGGTAAACTAAACTAGTAAGAAATCCAGGTTATTAGTACATATCAGTACATTGTGTTCCATAAGAAAACAACATATAATCAAACTTCTACCTTAAGGTCTCTCTCAAACGGAGTGTTTTCAATAATAGGTACAATCAGATCTTCATCATAGCGGTAGTTAACTGCACTTTTTCCCTTTTTTATACCCTAGGTGAAAATATAGAAGAGAAAAAAATACAGTAGTATAATAAAACCATTATTTTGATATATTTACAATACTAAAATAGAACTGTTACTAGTGAATGACATACTATTTCTTTTATTTCAACAGATCTTGATGGTAAGTGGGTTCAAAACTTGTTTATCATTAGTTAAAGAGTTGTTAAGTTCGCAACAACTGAAGTTGCTTATGTGGTGCCTATAAATAATAATTAGGAAGTCTTGCCATACAATATACCAATAAACAGTGTGGTTGGGTGGGCCTTAGCTGTAGAATTTTAACAAGATCTGTTCTGAATATTTTTATTTTTCTATAAAAAACATTATTTTGATGGATGTTTAAGTGTAAACTTGATCACCTTTTTTAATTAACAGAACATTAAGAAAACCTCATCCACACCACCACTAAAAATTTCTAGAAGGTGTTGTATAAAAATAAAGTCTATCCAAAATGTTAAGGACTCAAGTCTCCATAGCTAGATTGCAAAATGTTATATTAATCTTATTATTTATATAACCAGAAAGATCTCATACTTTACTGTTTTTGATATTTCAAGTTTTTTACATAACTTAAAAAGACAAAATTTCTGTTTATCATCTGCATCGTGTACTATTTTCACTGTTTTCATGTAATTTTTTGACTGAAGCAATATGTGTCTTTTTTTCATTTTCCTATGCATATATTCAAAAATATCTGTTACTGTAAATTTATAAACTACTATGCCTAATTTAGAAATATATATATGTGTGTGTATATACATACATATAACATAAATAGAAAAAATTGTAAAGGAATTAGATGACTGTTCAGCCACCATAAACTAACTTATGACATGATTATAAGATATTTTTATTTTCTAAAGATAAAATGATCATTTAATACTAATACATCATCTTTTTCTAAATTGGCCTTTATACTATTAATTCATGTTTAAAACAGAACTTGGAAATAAATTTTGTAAAATATACCTTAGCCTCCCCCTTAGCCCCATACACAATGAGTAATGCTTACTGTTAACCCTTTCGAGAGGGGTCATGGGTGAAAGGCCATGTCATCTCATTTGTTGACTCGCATTCAAAATTTTATTAAACTATTATTTCATAAATTTAAGATTGGTATCAAACTGTAGATTATAATTCAAATTTTAGTACTATATATTACTCAATTTCTTAATTTAAAAGC